TTCCCCCCCCCCCCCCCCGACGCACCTCACGCCTGCACGATTGCGTCATACCCCGCAGGCCGGCCGCCTGCAGACGCTGCTGCGGCTGGTGGACGGCCTCCTGGCGCGCTGCCGCGGCGCCACGGGGATCGCCGCCGCCGCCACGGCCCCGGCGCCGGGCGCCCTCCTCGTGCCGCCCGCCGCCGCGACCCCCGGCGCGGCCGCGGCGGCCTGCCAGCTCTCCGCGCTGGGCGTCGCTGCCGCGTGGCGGCTGGGGGCGTGGCGGCTGCTGCGCGGGTATCTCTCGGTGCTTCAGCCGCCCGGCGGGCCGGACTCGGGCGCGGCGGCGGCTGCGGCGGCAGCGGCGCTGGGGGCGGGGGACCAGTGGGAGTTGGGTGTGGGGGCCCTGCTGGAGGCGATGCAGCGCGGCGCGGAGGAGGAGGTGCGGCGCGGGTGCTATTTCTTGGGGGCCGGGACTGCACCGCAACCGGCAACCTGGGATGGCTTTGCGGCAGTTTGCGGCAGGGCATGTTGGTTGCTCTTCGTGTTTTTCTGTGCATCACACATTGCTGGATCCAAGCCAGCATCCGTGGACACGCGTTGCTGATGCGCGGGGCCACAGCAGCGCGGCACAGCCGCCTGCGTTGCCGCCGATGCTGTCCGCCCCCGCCACGTGCGTTCTTGTGCAGATGCGTGGCGGCCTGCAGGCGATGCGGTCGTCAGTGCTGGCGGTGCTGCCCGCAGTGGCGGCGGAGAGCTATGCGCGCGCGTACCCCCTGGTGGCCAAGCTGCACATGCTGACGGAAGTCGAGGAGGCGTTTGGGCTGATGAGCAAGGTGAGGGGGGCTTGAGTGTTCACCGCTTGATTTCATATGGATGATCCGAGCTGATGCTGGTGGGGGTGTCAGCCATAGGCTGTTGCATACATCGCTGACATCTCTCGCCCCTGACGCGTGGTGGCTGTATTGTTGAGCATCCAGCGCAGGCTCTTTGACGCCTTGAAGCCCGCATTTCATCCTCGTCGCCTGCAAATGCGCGTGCCGTCTTGATGCCCTCCCGAACCCCCACGCC